CACTAAAAAAAGAAAAAAAAATTGAGAAGATTGATGAAACAAAGTATGTTTTTTGAAAAGATAAACAAAATTTACAATCCATTAGCCATACTATCCAAGAAAAAGGAGAGGATATTCAAATAAATAAAATTAGGAAAGAAAACATGAGACATTTCAATTGATGCCACAGAAATACAAAAGATCGTAAGAGTCTATCATGAACAACGACATGCCAAAAATTTTGTTAACCTGAAAGAAATAGATAAATTCCTGGACAAATACAATCTACTAAGATTAAATTATAAAGAAAGAAAATCTGAACAGAACAATAACAAGTGAGGAAACTGAATCAGTAATACAATGTCTTCCATTAAAGAAAAGACCAGGACCTGATGGCTTCACTGCTGAATTCTATCACATATTTATAGAAGAACTAATACCTACTATCTTTGGATTATTCCAGAAAACTGAGGAGGAGGAAATACTTTCCAACTCATTTTATGAGGTCAACATTACTCTGATTCCAAAACTGGACTAGGACACAATAAAAAAAAGATAATTATAAGCCAATATCCTAATGAACATAGATGTGAAAATTCTCAACAACATACTAGCAAACCAAATGCAACACCACATTAATAAGACCATTCACTATGATCAATTAAGATTCCCAGGAATGCAATGATGGTTTAACATGCAAATCAATAAATGTGATATACCACATTAACAGAAATAAAGACAAAAAAACATGATCATTTCAATTGATGCAGAAAAAGCATTTTGACAAAATTCAACATTCCTTCATGATAAAAACTCTTAACAATCTAGGTATTGAAGGTATGTACCTCAATACAGTAAAAGTCTTATATGACAAACCTACAGTCAATATCATACTGTAGATCAGGAACAAGGTAAGGATGCCCACTCTCACCATTTCTATTCAGCATAGTACTGGAAGTCCTATCCAGGGCAATTAGACAAGAGAAAGATATAAAAGACAAAGTCAAACTGTCCCTTTCTGTAGACATCATGATCTCATACATAGAAAACCCAAAACACCCCACCAAAAAACTGTTAGAACTAATAAACGAATTCAGTAGAGTTTCAAGATACAAAATCAACATACAAAAGTCAATAGTATTTCTATATACTAATAGTGAACTATCTGAAAAGAAATAACAATTCCTTTTACAATACCTACAAAAAAAATTAAATACCTAGCAGTAAACTTAACCAAGGAGGTGAGAGACCTCTACAATGAAAACTATAAAACTTTGAAGACAGAAAATTGAAGAGGACATAAATAAATGGAAAGATATTCCATGTTCATGGATTAGAATAATTAATATAGTTAAAATAGCTATTCTACCCAAAGTGATGTATAGATTGAATGCAATCCCTATCAAAATACCAATGACATTCTTCACTGAAATAGAAAAAACAATCCTAAAATTCATATGGAAGCAAAAAAGACACCAAATAGCCAAAGAAATCCTGAAAAAGAAAATAAAATAAAGCTGGAGGCATCACACTACCTGACATCATATTACACTACAATGCTATAGTAACCAAAACCGCACAGTACTGGCATAAGAACAGACACATAGATGAACAGAACAGAATAGAGAACCTAGAAATAAATTCACACATCTACAGCCAACTGATCTTTGCAAAGGTGTCAAGAATACATATTGGGGAAAAGACAATCTCTTCAGTAAATGGTTCTGGGAAAACTGGATAACCCCATGCAGAAGAATAAAACTAGGCCCCTACCTCTCACCATGTACAAAAATCAACTCAAAATGGATTAAAAATTTAAATGCAAAACCTGAAACTATGAAATTACTAGAAAAAAACATAGAGGAAACAATCCATGACATGGGGCCATGTAAGAATAGTTTAAATAAAAAAGCACAAATTAAAAAAGTGAAAATAGACAAGTGGGATTACATCAAAATAAAAAGCTTTCGGGCCGGCCCGGTGGCGCACTGGATAGGGCGCTGCTTGGGAAGCACGGCGGCGCTCCCGCCCGAGGGTTCGGATCCCACATACAGACCGGTTCCCACTCACTGGCTGAGCGAGGCGCGGGAGCAGCACCGAGGGTTGCAATTCCGTTGCCGGTCCCCGGTCCGGTACGGGGGCAACACTGAGGGTTGCGATCCGTTGCCGGACACGGAAAAAGACAAAAAAAATAAAAAATAAAAAGCTTTCTCATATTGAAAGAAACTGCTAACAGACTGAAGAGGCAACCTACAGAATGGGAGAAATGCTAGCAAACTATACATCTGACAGGGGGATAATATCAAGAGTATATAAGGAATTTAAACAACTCAACAGCAAATAATAATAATAATAATAATACCCCAATTGAGAAATGGCCAAAGGATCTTAATAGACACTTCTCAAGAGAACATATATAAATGGTCAACAGACATATGGAAAAATGCTCAACATCACTAATCATCAGGGAAATGCAGATCAAAACAACAATGAAGTACTACTTCACCCCAGTTAGAATGGCTATTATCAAAAAGACAAAAGAAAACAAATGTTGGCAAGGATGTGGAGAAAAGGGAACAGTTGCAAACTGTTGGAGGGAGTGTAAATAGTACAGCCATTATGGAAAACAGTATGGAAGTTCCTCAAAAAATTAAAAATAGAACTACCATATGATCCAGCAATCCCTGGCTATATATCCCTATCACTACTGGGTATACACCCAAAGGAAATAAGTCAATATGTCAAAGAGATATCTGCAGTCCTGTGTTTATTGCAGCACAATTTACAATAGCCAAGATACAGAATCAACCTAACTGTCCAACAAAAGGTGAGTGCATTTTAAAAATGTGACATAGGGCCAGCCCGGTGGCGCACTGCTACAGTGCGCCGCTTGGGAAGTGCGGCGGCGCTCCCGCCGAGGGTTCGGATCCCACATACAGACCGGCCGCTCACTGGCTGAGCAAGGTGCGGGAGCAACACCGAGGGTTGCGATCCCGTAGCCGGTCCCGGTCCGGTACGGGCGCGACACTGAGGGTTGCGATCCGTTGCCGGTCACGAAAAAAGACAAAAAGGAAAAAAATAAAAAAATAAAATAAAATAAAAATGTGACATATACACAATGGAAAACTTTTCAGCCATAAAAAAAGAATGAAATCCTATCATTTGAAGCAACATGGTGGACTTGGAAGTCATTATGTTAAGTGAAGTAAGTCAGGCACAGAAAGACAAATACCATATCCCCTCACTTGTATGTGAAATATAAGGAAAAAAATTGATATTATAAAGGCAGAGAGTAGATCAGCAGTTACCAAAGACTGGGAAGGAAAGGCGGAGAGAAAACAGGGAGAGGCTGGCTAATGGGTACAAAATTACAATTAGGTAGAAGCAATAAGTTCTGATATTCTGTTGCACAGTAGGGTGACTGTAGTTAACAGTTAAGTTTTGTACATTACATAATAGCTAGAGGAGAGGTTTTTCAATGTTTTTGCCACAAAGAAATGATAAATGCATGAGGTGACTGATACATTACTACCCTGACCCTATTATTATACAACATATAAATGTATGGAAATATCAGATTGCACCCCATAGGTATGTACAATTATAATTAGTAAATTAAATTTTTTTTTTTTTGTCTTTTTCGTGACCGGTAAGGGGATCACAACCCTTGGTGTGGTGTCATCTGCACTGCGCTCAGCCAGTGAGCACACCAGCCATTCCTATATAGGATCCGAACTCGTGGCAGGAGCGTTGCTGCACTCCCAGTGCCGCACTCTCCCGAGTAAATTAAAAGTTTTAAAAAATGTTCATGGAAAGGGCCGGCCCGGTGGCGCACTGCCACAGTGCGCCGCTTGGGAGTGCGGCGGCACTCCCGCCGAGGGTTCGGATCCCACATATAGACCGGTTCCCGCTCACTGGCTGAGCGAGGTGCGGGCGTGACACCGAGGGTTGTGGTCCCGTTGCCGGTCCGGTCCGGTGCGGGCGCGACACTGAGGGTTGCGATCCATTGCCGGACATGAAAAAAGACAAAAAGGGAAAAAAAAATATGTTCATGGAAAGATTCATATTATTTCTTAATTCTATTTTCCCACAAACTTTTTGAAGTACCCTTGTATGACTTGCACAAATCTCAAGAGCATTGTGTGGAGTAAAAAAAAAAAAAGTGAATTTCAAAAGGTCATGAATTGTGCAGTTTCATTTATACAAAATTCTTGATATGACAAAACTACAAAGATGGAGAGTGGATGAATGATTCACACGTGGGGGAAAGGGAGTGAGTGTGACTATGAAGGGGTGGTGTGAGGGAGATCTTTGCACTAAAGAAATGGTTCCGTGTCTTGGTGGCAGTGATGTGACAAGACACTACAAATGTGATAAAATGACAGGATAATATACATACACTGTTCCCATATCAATTTTCTGTTCTTGATGTTGTGCTACCATCAGGTAAGATATAACCACTGGGAAAAACTTGATCAATGGCACAACTGACATCTCTACACTATTTTTGCAACTTCCCATTGATATGAAATTTGTTCCAAATAAAAAGTTTGAAAGAAGGAGGCATCATAACAAGCCCAACAGACCTTCATCTGGTCAAGACATCACCAGGATCCATGGTCTGGGCCTGAGTCGCCCCACTCCTCATCATTCCCATTGTTACCTCCTCAGGTTGGCCATGTTCATCCATAACCGGGAGACTCCATGGGCCCCTGACCAGGCAACTGGATGCAGGAACAACCCAGGTCTCTAGGGATCTCTAGGCCACAATAAGGAGCCCAGATCCCTTTCAGCTCCCAAAACACAGCCCTGCAGAGGAGTGCCAGGACTGATTTAAGTGACCTAAATGTCCACCAGATTCCATCCCAGGTGACCTCTGACCCCTCCCACTCCAAGAGAAGCCAGTGGGAGGATATTGGGTGTGGGGGAGGATCTCAAGTCTAAACTCTTGGAATCAGGCATGCCTCGTAGGCCATCCGCACTTCCATATGCCCACATATTCCACCCCGTATGTCTCTCACCTCCATTGTCCGGTGGCTTGGTCTTCATCTCCAAGTTCCTCCTGCCTTCAATGGCACCGAGATGAAGCATTGTGTGTGTCACAGGGCAGGCTGTCAGGGCAAGGGCTTTGGAGCTGGGTGGATGGGGTTTGGATCCTGCACTAATCAGCTGGGTGGTCTCAGGCAGGTGATGTCACCTCTTCAAGTCTTCATGTTCTCATCTGGTAAGTGGAGTGTCAGCAGTGCCTGCTCCTACAGTTGCTTTGAAGGTTAATTGGGAAGACTTGTGGAGAGCACTTGGCATGGTGCTTGGCAAGGGTAGGGTCAGGGATTGTGGGGTCTGGGGCTTGGAGAGGGTCCCTCTTGAATAAAAAAAGTAGGTCAAGAAATTAAAAATGGAACTACCACATGATCCAGCAATCCCACAAGTGGCTGTATTTCCAAAGGAAATGAAATCAGTATGTTAAAGACATATCTGCATGCCCATCTTCATTGCAGCGCTATTCACAACAGCCAAGACATGGAATCAGCCTAAGTGTCCATCAACACATAAATGTATAAAGAAACTGTGTTACATTTACATAATGGAATACTATTTACCCTTAAGAAAGAATAAAATCTTGTCATTTGCAGCAACATCGGTGAGCCTGGAGGGCATTATGTTAAGTGAAATAATCCAGAAAGACAAATACCACATGGTCTCACTCATATTTGGAAGCTAAAAAAGTTGATCTTATAGAAGTAGAGAAGGAGAATGGAGGTTACGAGAGGCTGGGAAGGGCAAGTGGGAGGGAGAATAGGGAGGGGTTGGTCAAAAGATATAAAATTGAAGCTAGATAAGGAGGAATAAGTTCTAGTGCTCTATGGCACTGCAGGGTGACTATAGTTAACAATAACTTATTATATATTTTGAAATAGCTAAAGAGAAGATTTTGAACATTCCCAACACAAGGAAATGATAAACGTTTTAGGTGATGGATATCCCAATTATCTTCATTTGATTATACATTATATACATGTATGGAAATATCACTCTGAAACTCATAAATATGTGTAATTATTATGTGTCAATAAAAAATATTTTAAAACAGAAAAAAATTAAAAAGAAAAAGAGTAGAAAAATTATGAACACACAAGTGCTGGGGCCCTGAAGTAGAAGCTCATTTCACTGTGCATCAAATCAGTGTCTAGTGCTTGGCATACAGCAAGTGCTCAATAAAGGCAGCTCTTAACATGCATTTGAATTCCCCTGCCTTTTCAATCCTGTTCTAAAGTGACGAAGCAGCTAGACATAGTGGCTCAGACCAAGAAACTCCAGAGTCAAAAGTTTTAAGTTCAAATCTAAGCTCTGTCTTTCACCTGGACCTCAGGCAAAAGACCTTGCCTTGGTGCCCCTGCCTCCGAAATGGGTATGCTATATGACTTCTTCTTGGGACCACTGTAAAGATATATGAGCCTGTCCATGTGATCCTCTGCATATTGCATGGGGAGAGGCCAGCACTGCAGCAAGAACAATTAGTAGAAACACTCAGCTGTGGGCTTCCTGGGACCCCTGCCTTCCACTGAGAATTACTGGGGGCATTAGGCATGGACTGGGACCAGCCTGTCTGCAGCTGACAGCAGGGCATTCCCAGCCTGCTCCTCTCTAGCTATGAGACCTCAGGGGTAGGGTTGCCAGGTTTAGTAAATAAAAATACACAGCACACAGTGCAACTGAATTTCAGATAAGCAATAAAAAATTTTTTAGTATAAGTATATCCTAAATACTGCCTGGGAAATACCTATGCAAAACTACTATTTTTAAGTATTTTTAAGTATAGTTAAGAATTTTTAAGTATAGTTATGTCCCATGCTATATTTGGGAAGTACTAGTAAGTCATTCATTGTTTATCCAAAATTCAAATTTAAATGAGCATCCTGTATATTACCTGGCAACCTGAGTATTGGGTTGACTATTTAATCCCTATATGCCTTCAGCTTTCTATGCCATAAACATGAGGACAAAAAACAATTAAATATTAGGATTAAATGTTTACATGCATGTCAGGGATTAAACAGTACCTGAGACAATTTATGTGTTGGCTTCAATTTTATTTTTATTAGGGGTGAGATCCAGGAGGCTTTTTCCTCCACTAGGGCCCCAGCTTTCCTGCATCACTATACCTGTCACTGAGGTGTTCAAATGGTCCTCACGTATCAGTCCTCTTCTGCAAGTGCCCCTCCCCAACAAGTCCAGTCTCACGGCCTGGGCTTCCAGACAAAGGCAAATCTCCTTTGATGAGGAAAATCTGCAGGTTGCGGAACTTAATGTTTCAGAGAAGCAGAGGCACAAGGGCATGGAACCTGGTCAGTGGTTGTTGGGGACTGGGCCCTGGGAGGATCATCAGACACACAATGACTCCCAGGTACGCGGTGACCTCCTTCACACACTCATACACAAACTCCAACTCACAATGGTATACTTTCAGAAACTCAGAGACCCCTCCACCCACTGTCCTCACAGGTTGACTTGAAATAATTAAGACCAATTTGCAACACACACACACACACACACACACACAACACAGCAGATACACACAATCCTGGAACTCAGAGACACCTCCTTGGCTTTGCAGGTCTTTTAAGAAACACTGAGACCCACCTGCAGGCCCTCACACACTAATGCAGATACACACAGCTTCAGACACAGGGAAGACCCAGGCACAAACACATACAAACATGTTAGAAACACATTTTCAGATAAAGACTGAGGATACCTGGGCATACAGACACAAACACATTTGCAGACACACCCTCCAGGGAAACTTTCAGAAACCCACTCACTCACCTCCTTGGCTTTGCAGGTCTTTTAAGAAACACTGAGACCCACCTGCAGGCCCTCACACACTAATGCAGATACACACAGCTTCAGACACAGGGAAGACCCAGGCACAAACACATACAAACATGTTAGAAACACATTTTCAGATAAAGACTGAGGATACCTGGGCATACAGACACAAACACATTTGCAGACACACCCTCCAGGGAAACTTTCAGAAACCCACTCACTCAGGCTGGGGACCTATTTGTAAATACCCGACCCCCTCCACGCACATGTAGACTTGGACATTCACATACACCATCTGCAGACACACAGAGCAAACTTACAAGTCACCCGCCTGACACGCAGATCCTCTCTGGCTGGGGACCCCCAAAATAACTCTCCTATGCTCCAGCCAGCCAAGTCAGTAACTGAACCCCCTGACCCCTAATTGACCTCTTCAGTGTCCTGGAGCCCACCAGACTAGCATGCCCCAAGGCCTGACCCTCCTACCTCCTGGATCCTTCCTGACCTGTGTCCAGTCCCCACCATCTACTCCTACCGGCTGGTCCCAACCTCCCCAAACCCTTCAGTCTTCTCTCCTGATGTCCAGAGAAATCCACAGATGCAGAGTCGCCCGGTCATTCAGAAAAGACCCAAGAACTTCCAATTGCCCCTGGAGCTGATTCTAGCATCCTTAACATGGTTCCTGGTGCATTCCCCACACCTTTCTCATGTGATCTGAAGCAGCGCCTCCCGTGCCCCGTGATCTAGAATGCATTCTGCAAGTGCCTACCGGTTCACTGGATGCCTCTCTCTGACTCCCATGGCTGCCCTGCAGCGTGATTCCAATGCCACATGGCCTCCCCATTAGCACCCCAGCCCTGAGTGCAGACGGCTGTGTTTGGGCTGCAGCTGTGGGACTGTCCTCTAGTCGTGGAGTCTAAATTAGCGAGGGCTTTTCTGACGGCTGCTGGCCTACTGAGCATGGATGAGGCTGGTTTGCTCAGTGAGTCTCCAGGGTGCACCCGGGGGTTGGGCTTAAGAGGTGCCCAGGGACTGCCTGGGCATGAATGATCAAACTTACCCAGTCATACAAATAGACTCAGATACACACAAATCCAGTTATGGCCACAAACTTGTACAGTCACACACACACACACAAACTCACACATTCACACATAAACCCACACATAATAAACAAACACTATCATACAGACACACACTCAAATCCACACGAACTCACCCAGTCACACACAGAATCAGATGCACACACACAGTTAGACACAGCTCACACAACTATGCACGCACACACTCAAATCCACATGAACTCCCACAACCACATAGACACAAGCTTCCGACCACATAAACTCACACAATCACACAGATGCAGACACTTCCTAAGACACACACAAATGCACACTGGCAGGCACAGTCACACGACAAACTCACAATTCCACACAGACAATCAGATTCACAGAATCAAACACACAACCAGACCCAGCCACACTCACATAGCCAGACACAAATTCACACACAGACACACCATCAGATACACACGATCTCACACAATCATTCCTGGCCACATTTCCAGTCAGGCAAGTACACAACTTATAAAGAGTCACAGAAACTCACACAATCACACACATTCAGCTACATACGCTGACAGACTCAGTTACATAGTTTGACACAAGCTCACACCCTCACACAGATAAAACGCAAGCTACCTAAATTCAGACCCACAATCAGAATCAGCTGCAATAGCACAGACACTCAGATATCCACAAACTCAACTCAGTCAGACTCAGCCACACTTACCCTGTCTGACAAAAATGCACACCCTTGCGCACAAAACTCACAGAGTATGAGAAAAGGGACACACACACACACACACACCCACACACGCAGAGTCCAGCCCGGCCTCACAAAGTTGGAACTCGCGGTATGTGGTATTGCACAAAATCGCCCGCCCTGTGACATACATAGACAAGCACTCACTCCGCGCACCCCCATAGCCACACTCCTTCCCTCGCACACTCACCTGGGGCAGAACAATCACTCACCTCTCACTCCTACCCCCAGACTCGCCAACTCCCGAGACGGAATCATGATAGGCAGGGGTGGCCGGAGACCCTGCCGCTGTTACCTTTAGCATGCCGCCGAGTTAGTTGCTCCTGCTTCCTCTGACCCCGGCAGGTCCCGACGTCCCAGTCTCTGACACTCTCTCCGTCCTCTGCGCGCCCCCCTGCCCACCACCCATCCTCTCCCGCGGACTCACCGCGCTCAGCGCCAGAGCCCGCCTTCATCAGGGGCGGGATGCTGGTGGGTGGAATTCAAACTCGGACCCCAAAGCTCCTGAGCGTCTGCCGCCGAACTACAAGTCCCAGAAGCCCTGGCGCCGAGCCGCGACCACCCATTCTCGTTAGCTAAGGAATCCGAGCCTAGGCGGCGCGCGGGGCCCGCTGGGAAATGTAGTCCCAAGGCTGACAAGGCTGTGCGATGTGCTCCTTCAGCGCGGGAGTAGCGGAGGTCGCCCGGAGGGGAAGGTATGTCCCTCCTCTACCCGCTCCGAACTGGGCTCCTGCAGAGGAAGGGAGCGTTTGGCTAGGGGCCCACTTCACGCTCTTACCATGTGGCCTAGGCACAGAAAGGTTCCCCAAAGCCCCTACAGCCCTTTGCAACCTGGGCCAAGGAGTAAAAAAGAAAAACTGCATTCAACTAAGTCCTCTCTAATTGGAGAAATTGAACACTGGATATGGGGCGATAATAAAAAAAATATTTTAAAAGAGATTTTATCTTATAGCTTCATACTGAAGTATGTATGGATGAAATGAGATGATATTTGGACATTGCTTCAAAATAATTCGGAGGGATAGGGTAGAGAAGTTTTGTGGGAGCACAGCTGAAACATGAGCAACGGTGTGATGAAAACGGTTCAATCTGGATGTGAGTACATAGTAGTTCATTGTATTATTCCATCTACTTTTGGTTGTGTCAACATAAGAGGATTTTTCTTTTAGAGATTGTATTAGTTTTCTATGTTGTGGAACAAATTATCACAAATTCAGTGGCTTAAAACAATACACATGTATTAGCTCATAGTTTCTGTAGGTCAGGGGTCCTGCTGGGCTTAGCTGGTTACTCTCAGGACTCACCAAGCTGTAATCAAAGTATTAGCTGAGCTGTTTTCATCTTCCACTGGGGAAAAATCTGCTTCTAAGCTCATTCTAGTTCTTGGTAGAATTCATCTCCTTGCAGTTGCAGGGCTGAGGTCCCCTCCCCAATTTCTTGCTTGCTGTTGTGGCAGCTTACTTCCCGAACGGCAGTAAAGGAGAGTGTCTCTAGTCAGCTAAGATAATATAATCAAGGGAGTGACATCCCATCACCTTTGCCATATTCTATTGATTAAAAGCAAGTAATAGGTTTCACTCTCACTCATAGGGAGGGGATTACTCAAGGAGTGGATCATTTGGTGGTCATCTGAGGGTATCTCTGCCAAAGAAATGTCTACTAAAGTGTTGACAGGTGAAGTAATATAATGTCAGGGATTTGATTCAAGAATTCTGGGGAAAGAGAGAGTGGATGGCATATAGAGGAAACAAGATTGTGTTTGGATTGATAGTTGTCAAAGCTGGGTAATGGTTAGGAGAACCATGAAGCCACTGACTGCTTTCAGCTTGGAGAGCCAGCCTAGTGCTCACAGCTAAGCTCTGGTGTTCACATGCTGAACATAAACAATTTCACGGAACGTCAACATCAGACAAAGCCACTTTGTGGTCATAGGGGCAGTGAGTTGAAAATGATCCCTCTGCAATCTGTCTGGGCACAGAGAAAAACATGAATATTGTCCAAACCATAAACGTGACCCAACACTGCTTTCTTCCAGGAAAATTAATGACTGCTGCTCTTTCGCCAGTGACAGCTTCAGCTGCCTTTGAGGTAAAGTTAAGATACCCATTCATAGGTTTACCCCACTTCCTGACATTTCCCAATCTAGAAAAAAACCCTTGATTACTCACAACCTTCCCAAATCACCTAACACAAGTCCAAATCATATAACAAACCTCTCCTAGTACCCAACACTCACCTTCTGAGATGTCCCTTAGCATCCCATGATGTGCAGCAGTGATGTGGTGATAAATGTCTAACTGGCTTTTAGAGAAAAAAGTGTGTGTGTTTATGTATACACATGTATATTCCTATATGTATGTATTATATAAATATACACACACACACATACATACACATATATACACATATTCAAGTTTTACTGATACAAAGAATGTGCAGCACAAAAGTTACACAAAATAATTGTATAGTACTCTTTATTGTTAATTTCATACAGTCCATTGATTTCTCACAGAACAGTTGCATTAATTTTTACTGAACTGTGATCTAGAGCCAAGCTATGACTGAAACTCAACCATGATTTGACAAAATCAGACTGTAAATACATGCTTGATTTCTATCAAATTCAGCAAAGAAGTTGCTCATTCATTGGTGAATAAGTGTAGTTTTCATGTCACTTGATATTTTTGTTTATGTTAATAAGACAATAGAGAAAATGGGAAAGATGTGTATCAGAATTTCATCCATTTGTCAATGACATGAGCAACTTCTTTTTTGAATCAGATAATAGTTTCAAGTACTGGAAGGTCAATTTTTGTGCTCTTCACAATGTAACAGCTACAGATATGAACTGCTTTAAGGTTTAATCTGCACTATTAACAGTTTATCCATCACTTTCTTAAGTTTAGACAATTGACAAACAATAAATCACGCCCTAGTTTGTAGAATTTGCCAATTTCCATGGTGTAAATACATCTGACAAGACCAATTCAAGCTACCAAGGTGATGTCAGTCAACATACTGCTGAAAAAAATGTGAAGTAGCACACAATTATGTAGTGTTTTCATCATACAAATACGATGAATATGAGCAACCTCAAGAGCATAGATAA